TGATACACAGCTTAATCAGCAACCTAGTATACCAATAGAAATGTTTTTGATACAACCTTATATACTAATAAAATTTTATTGATACAACCTAATATACTAATAAAATGTTATTGATACAACCTAATATACTAATAAAATGTTATTGATACATCCTAATATACTAATAAAATGTTATTGATACAACCTAATATACTAATAAAATATGTTATTGTTACACAGCTTAATCAGCAACCTAATACACCAATAAAAAGAGCCAAAGTTGTTTGTAATTTATATTTACATCATGTTATGGATCAAGGTACTGTACGTAGCAAGGTTTATGAAAGTCTGTTCCAGGATTTTATGAACATTATCCTTAACATAATGTTTATATATTTAAATGAGAATGAACATGCATGACTTGGCTACAGATGTTACTAAGGGGCATAACTTCTGTTAAAACAGCTGTATCAAAATTATTTTGTGCAGGTGCCCATTCTCTAAGTGTGGTAAGTATATCTCTGAAGTATTGAAAAACTTGAATGAAAACTGTAGGAAAAATAATCCATACAATGGTAGGTTATAATTTTTTAAAAGGAGCATATGACTGTTTAAACTCCCTTTAGAATAGCGGGATCAAAGTGTCACATATTGGACAGACAACTTCAGAGTAAGGTGTTCATTATAACACCAATGAACTGTGCTATATGTATTTAGATGACTACTGTACCAATTTAAATCCCTCGTCAGCATGTTTGGGAAAAGTCTCAATGAGGGAATAGCAAAATGATTATTACCCTGTTCTATTACCCTGTTCTTTTTTTTAAAAAGCCACCAGTTGTTTTTAATGTGTAGGGTTTAATTACCATAAAAGATAAAATAATAATGATGACATGTACACAACTGATCAATTGTTGTCCGTCATGTGTACAGGCAATAATAAGTGAATGATAATGTTTTTGGGAATAGTACGGTAAAACTTACGGCAGCGCAATGTCCTTGAACATTTTGGGGAATGGTTTAACCAACATTAGGGTTAGCACTTGGAAGGAAAGCTGGGACATGCAGGTTCCTGAGCAGTCATCACGGTAATCTTCTCCCAGTCCGAAAACACCAAACAGGTCAAAGTTCTTAAACAAAAATTACAACAAAATGAATTAGTTATTGATATGGAGGAGTACAAACAAATGAATAACATTTTAAATCTTCAAATAAAAATGAAAGAGATTGATGTACATGAATGCCGATAATGATCATACGTGTGTGTCATGTGTGATCAGATATTTCAAAGGAAACAAACAACAAAATACACATTTTACGCAGTTTCTTCTTAGTTTTAACATAATTTTACCTGTTAACAATACTTATGAACTCACTTGTAATAAACAAATTACAAAAATCCTAAGAATCCCAAGCGGGTTGTCTTTCATTTTCAGAGAACGATTTTCGGAACTTGAACATCTTTTTTTTCTTTTCCAAAAATGTTTTGGTGTGCAAAATATTTGAGTAGAAGCTTTTTTGGGGATTTTCAGCCTCAAAAAGTACCTGGGCAAATTACATAGGTTTTTACGTTAATTTTCTAAATCCACATAGGTAATCACATAGGAATATAAGTTTGACCAATTATCTTACTACAGATCTTTACAGATCTATCCTTAACATGCATTTAATTTGTTTTAAAACATTATGTGCCAAATTGAAATTTACAGTACATCCTATGATTAACAAACACTGAGAATTTCACATGATGACAGAGAGCAATGTAATCCCTAACTAACAGTGGAGAGGGCCATAGAGTAAATTATCTATAGTCACAGTTATACAAACTTACCCCACGTAATCCCTAACTAACAGTGGAGAGGGCCATACAATTAATTATCTATAGTCACAGTTATACGAACTTACCCCACGTAATCCCTAACTAACAGTGGAGAGGGCCATACAATTAATTATCTATAGTCACAGT